GCTCTCACAGTCTCTATGACAAAGTAGCCAAGAGTTCACAACAGTCACATCTATAACATGAGAAAATAATTTGTGACAATATTTTTTCAATCTGATGTGAATTCTGTACAGTTCAATTAGCGAGTCTATCAAATCAACACCTCCCATGAACTGATTGCAGGTTTTCACAATAGCGGGGCAATCAATTGCGATGGTTTGTTTTGTCTTCTTGTCATATCGCTTACAGTTGGCCTTTGGTTCTGCCGAGGCAAAAGTTGACATCAGGTTTACAACTCTGTTATCTGCCATTTCACTACATGCACTTCAGCATCGTCAGCTGGAGCAGTCACTTCTTGATGGGACCCTTTGCCTCTTTCCACCAAATCTTTGTCCTTGAGTAGTAGGATGCCAGGCAAACGACGGATTCTAACAGTTCCCAAGCTCAATAATTTTTCTTTGCTAACTTTGTCATCAAAGGAAGTGACATAAACCAGTTATCAAAATATAATAAACGGTTCAATCCAACAGGAATTGATTGGGCCAATTTCAGTACTACATTTGAACTAGCTCCCAAGTCAGGTTCTCCTAACACCGGTTCACTTTCTCTGAATAGATGAAAAAATCCTACAGGATGCCTTTGTCATCGTAAAGAACAAACCATTTCCATCCCCACTGGTGCGGTTTGCTGGGTAGATATTGATTTATGCTTGATCTACCTTTGAATGGAACTATCTGTTCATCCACGCATAGCATTTGGGGCATTGGTATTTCCCGAAACTTTTTTTGTAAATGGTCTGGCAAAGGCTGGATCTTGAATAATTATCTGCATGCACATTTAGGATTACTGTGTCATTTTGGTAGATGGATCTGTTTATCGTTATATAATCTCTTAATTTTCTTAACTCTGAAGTCTACTATATATGCAGTGGTTCATTAAGGACAGTTTCTTCTCTGTTGTGCCTGCAGGCAAGCCTCTCTCTGCCCTTGGCTTCTTGGCCTGGCCTCTGCCCCGCTCAGACAATGTTACAGAGCTTTGTTAGGACTGCCCATAAATGCCCAAGGGGCAAGCTACTATAAGCTTCAACCTGAAGGCACCCAGCTCCATCTTCAAGTGTCAGCAAACTCAGCTTCCCCAGTCAAGGGCCCCAAGGCACCCTAGTCCACAAGCCAGCTGCCTGCCCCAAAGCACTCAGATTTACTTGCTCTGTAGGCTGGGAAGCTCATTACTCTGTCTCATGTGCTGGCTCCTGGGTCTGCTGCTCCTGCTCCTCTTCCACTCCCCTGGTGTCAAAGCTGTCTCCTGGATTAAGGAGCTTTGAGACACAAGGATCGCAGCATCCAAAGAACATGTGCCATTCCTTGCTCTTCTCTCTTGTCAGTAGTAACCGCCCTCCCCACCCCTTCCTGCTTCTGATTTGGCTCATTTTATGTACAGGGTGGCAATTACCATTATTGATAATAATCACTCACAGCTGAATCACATAGTCTGATCAGTATCTTCCTACACCTTCTTACCCAGACCCGTGTGGACAAACGAAGGTCACGTGTGGGGTAACAAAGGCTAGGGCTAGAAGAGTGTCATAGTAAATAATTCGTTATATTGCACATTCAGAATGGATTATGAACTCACATGGAACATACAATGCTAAAACCTTTTATAAAAATATCACAAGGCAAAATGCTCAGGATCTAAGACGAGACAAAGAGTTTTAGACGTAATATCAAACCATAATCCATAAAAGTAAAAACTGAAAACCTGGACTTCACAAACACAAAAATATCTGTCTTGTAAAGGATCTTGTTATGATTTTAAAAGACAAGGTACGACTTGAGAGAAAACCTTCTCAAACACATCTCAGAAAAAATTAATATCTAAACTATATAAAGAACCTGCAGAACTGCCCAGTAAAAAATCAAACAATCCAAAAAATTTTTTAAAAATTAAAAACACCCAAAAAAAACAAACAATCCAATAAGAGCAAAGAACATGAGGAAGCCTTCCACTGAAAAGGATAACCCAGGTAGCAAATAAGGATAAGGAAAGCTGGTCTGCATCACGGGTTTCTTGGGAAATAGAAAGTAAAGCCACAATAAGAAAAATGGCTGTGGTACGACGAATTGCTTTTACATGGCCCATCCCACCATCATCTATAAGTCCATGAATGAATGGGTGACTCTATGTAAATAGGTACTAATATCTCACCAAAGGAATTGGATTGCATATATTTGTTGGATTGATTGGATTAATTGCATTTGTATTATTAAATACAAATAAGGTGCATAGCACCCATGTTAGGGTGGGACCGTGCACTTTAATGAGGGAATTGGTCAGTGTTGCCATCACACTACTTTTAAACTGAGCAATGAAAGATCTAGAAAGAAGAGACAGGAATGGAGTGTGTCTTTTGGACCAGGGCTCTCTGCACATACAACCTCTTATACCCAGGAGACAGAGACTTGTAATACCAGAGTCAGCACAGGATGGTGAAAAGCAGCAACAAGTGGGGCAGATCGTCAGCGGCAGCAAAGCCCGGGGACCAGCAGGAGAGAGCCTGGTCCCTTTCCTGGCCCCAGAGGGAAGACGCGGAGTGCCTTTGCGCAGGAAGCTGGCTGGCAGAATGCAGTGCCTGTGGGCACTTGTCAGCGCTAAGCATGACGGCCCACAGAACCAGAGCCAAGGCTTTGGGCCAAGGCTTACTGACAGATTGAGATGCCTCTGGGCTTTTACCAGTGGAGCCAAAGTACTTGAAACACTTGCCTGAGCATGGCACAGGCTGTACCAATGGGCTGAAAGGTGAAGGGGTCAAGAGAATTTTGCTTGCAGGCATGGCTGAAAAGAGATGCGTGCTAATTGAAAAACTGTATCCTGAGTTATGCCTGGATTGTGACCTGTTATTTCTCTAACAAGCCCCATCATAGTAAATAATATCTGTGACTTCTATATAGCCATGGCAACAAATTTTTGATCCCAGAAGAGAAGGAAAGCATAATTGGGATGGATGGTTGATGTCATAAATGGTAAAAAACAAAACAAAAAACCTAAACTAAACAAGGCCCCCCATGGCACCATTTTCACAGTGACGACCCCCAATGCTGGCGAGAATACCGAGAACCTGGTTCACCACCAATGTAGACTGGCCTGGGACTATTCAGAGGCTACCGTTAGCAAGCAAGGACTTTGAAATAACTGTCTTCAAAGACACAAAGGAAAAAGATCACGTCATTAATAAACAAAGAGGAAGTTTCCGTAGAGAACTCAAAAGAAGCCAAATGGGAATTCCAGGATGGAAAGGAGACAAAACCAAACAAATTCTAAAGAGACTATTGATTGGATGGGCTTGGCGTCACAGGAGACGGAAGAGGACAGGAGCAAGGACGGCCATGAGGAACAGATCATTAGAAACATCCAGTCTGAAGAACAGAGACAGGACTGGGCCAAAGAGAAGGGCTCAGTGACCCTGGACCCATATACAACGTGCCAGCATAGGAGTCATTCGAGCGCTACAAAGAAAGGAGCGGATGCATGGCGGGGGGGTGGTGGTGGGGGGGGGGGGGGCGGTGGTGGTGGTGGTGGTGGTGGTGGTGGTGAAGGAACAAGAGCTGGAATTTCCCCGTCCTTGTAGATTCAAGAAGCCCAGTGAACCAACCCCAAGCAGAAGAAACACAAAGACAGCCAGGTCTACGATTGCAGAGTTAAATCTTTTTAAGAGCAAAGACAAAGGGGAAAAAAATCTTAGAAGCGATTTTTAAAATCTGTATATTTTATGCAAGGAAATACAACCCAAATGACCGTGGCTGCTTTCAAAAAGTATTTGGTGTTTCAGCGTACAAAAGCCCTTTCTTTTCGTGTGCTTCAATTTTAGCAGACCACCAGAGAGAAAAGCCAGTTGGACAAATGCCCGTGATGCCAAGGTCGCAACAAAATAACTGCGATTCCCGCCCCCCACCCTTCAGTGCCATCCTTTAAAATAGATCAAAGAACAAGGTGCTCCACAGAGGCACGACTAAAACCCCATGCTTCAGAAAACATAGCTGCGCTTCATTATGTACATGAGTATTAGCCCCAAGTTGTCATATCAACTCATGAGGAACGAGGGTAGAAAGGACTGGGAGCAGAGAGCTTGGAAAAAGGAGAGCTGATTAAATTGGATTATTATCCTGACAGACCCTTCTTCTAATCTCAAGTCAATGCGGTCTCCCTGGGGGTTTATTTTCTTTATATTCTTTGTGCAACAGAAGTGTTACTTCTCAGGTGATATTGACCTGATCCTAGACTAACGTCAGATGACTTAAAAGAAAATTTTCTAACTGTCTTCAGGATCAAGATCAATGTAGAAAAAAAAGAAAGGTAACAATAGACATTTCTGAAATTGAAGAAGGTTTCATCAGAGACATTCAAACAAACGAACTTATAGAGGTATTTTAAAGCTATCTCCACAATGGTTAGAAATAGAAAGCAAAAAATCAAATAGAAAATATAAATCAAAAATGGAATTGAACATGTTATTCTTACAAAATTTAACAGTCTATAAGGATGAAAACATTTCAGGGGACCAAAGACAGGCCCTCTTAGAATGGCTGTATTCTCAACAACCTTTTACATTAAAGTCGTGAGACCTGCTTCTAACAATGGCACTGGACTCTTCTTCGGAATGTTCAAATCTGTTCTTCCTGTCCTGACTCCCCTCTCGTGGTCAGTGGAAGTATGTTACGACACAGGGCTTGCCTAAGTTCAGTAATTCCACCAGCTACGTCATGTTTCGTCATAACCGTATAATCCTTGTAGTATTATTTTTATTAGTTTTCCTTACATTGAGGCACAGTTTTTCTTGTATAAGAATGAAAGGCACTGGATCGTGCCAACAATGTGGAACTGACCTAGTGGGGCCAGATTTCCCCCCTGCCCCTCTGCAGGAGGGCT